CCCAAAAATCCCCCCAAAATCCCCCAAAAATTCCCAAAAATTCCCAAAAATTCCCCAAAATTCCCCAAAAATTCCCAAAAAACCCCCCAAAAATTCCCCGAAAACCCCAAATTTCCCGAATTCCCCCCAGAATCCCGGGAATTCCGGGAATTCCTCCCCCACCTCCTTCTGGTAGAGCTCGGACTCCCTGCGGCGGCAGAAATCACAAACAGCTCCTGGGGGGGGAAATTTGGGGGAAATTTGGGGAATTTTGGGGGTCCCGGAGCGGAAATTTCGGGATGAAATTCCCAAATTTCCCAGGGGAGGGAATTGGGGGAATTCGGGGAGGGGGCTCCGAGTTTTGGGGAGGAATCCCCGGAATTTTCAGGATTTCGGGGCTCCTTAACCCCATTTTTTTGGGATAAAAGGTGAATTTCTAATTTAATTTTGGGATATTAATTGGGTTTGGGGTCATTAATTGGGTTGGGGGTCATTAATTAGGGGAGGGGGCTTTAATTGGGAGGATTTGGGGGTCTCCAACCCCAATTTTTGGGAGGAATCCCTGGAATTTTGAGGATTTTGGGGCTCCAAAGCCCATTTTTTTGGGATAAAAGGTGAATTTCTGGGTTAATTTGGGGTCATTAATTGGGTTTGGGGCCATTAATTTGGGTTTGGGGTAATTAATTGGGTTTGAGATCATTAATTAGGGGAGGGGGATTTAATTGAGGGGATTTGAGGGTCTCCAACCCCAATTTTTGGGAGGAATCCCTGGAATTTTGAGGATTTCGGGGCTCCTTAACCCCATTTTTTTGGGATAAAAAGCAAATTCCTGGGTTAATTTTGGGATTTGGGGTCATTAATTAGGGTTGATCTCGTTAATTAGGGGAGGGGGCTTTAATTGGGAGGATTTGGGGGTCTCCAACCCCAATTTTTGGGAGGAATCCGCTGAATTTTGAGGATTTCGGGGCTCCTTAATCCCATTTTTTTGGGATAAAAACCGAATTTCTGTGTTAATTACAGTCCGGGGTCATTAATTTCGGGCCAGGCTCATTAACTACCGTCGACCTCATTAATTAGCGGGGAGAGACCTCCAATTAAAACCGCCCCTCCCCCCATTTTTGGGGCGTTTTGGGCCGATTTTGGCCCTTTCGGAGCCGGATTTTTTTGGCTGGGCGGGTCCATCCCGGCCTGGGGGGGGGTTAATTAGGGGTTAATTAGTTAATTAGCGCCGGGGACTCACCGTGGTGGGGCAGGAGCGCCCGGCAGCCGACGCAGCTGCTGCGTTTGGAGGTGAAGGCCGAGAGCCCCCCGGATTTGGAGGTCAGGAGGGTTTTGCAGCGCGTGTGTTCCCCCTCTGTGGGGCCAAAAATCCCAAAATCCCTGAAATTCCCAGCCCCAAAATCCCGGAATTCCAGCCCAAAAAATCCCAAAAATTCCTGGGAGGGCCAAAAACGCCGGAATTCCCAAAAAAATCCAGCCCAGAGCGCCAAAAATCCCAAAATTCCCACCCAAAAATGCCAAAATCCCATCCCAAAAACCCCCCAAAATCCCAAAATTCCCCAAATTCCCAGCCCCAAAATCCCGGAATTCCAGCCCAAAAATCCCCAAATTCCTGAGAGTCCCAAAAACGCCGGAATTCCCAAAAAAATCCAGCCCAGGGCGCCAAAAATCCCCCAAAAATCTCAAAATTCCATCCCAAAAATCTCCCAAAATTTCATCCCAAAACTCCCAAAATCCCATCCCCAAAATCCCAAAATTCCCCAAATTCCCAGCCCCAAAATCCCGGAATTCCAGCCCAAAAATCCCCAAATTCCTGAGAGTCCCAAAAACGCCGGAATTCCCAAAAAAATCCAGCCCAGGACGCCAAAAATATCAAAATTCCCACCCAAAAATGCCAAAATCCCATCCCAAAAACCCCAAAAACCCCAAAATTCCATCCCAAAATTCCAAAATTCCACCCAAAAAATCCCAAAATTCCACCCAAAAAATCCCAAAATTCCACCCAAAAAAATCCCAAAATTCCACCCAAAAAAATCCCAAAATTCCACCCAAAAAAATCCCAAAATTCCACCCAAAAAATCCCAAAATTCCACCCAAAAAATCCCAAAATTCCACCCAAAAAAATCCCAAAATTCCACCCAAAAAAATCCCAAAATTCCTCCAAAAAAATCCCAAAATTCCTCCCAGAAAATCTGGGAACGGGCAGAATCCGGGGTGGATTTTGCTCCGTTTTTTCAGGGATTTGGGGAATTTTTTTGGGAATTTTTGGGAATTCCGGGAATTTTCGGGAATTTCTGAGAAAATTCTGGATTTTGATTCCGTTTTGGGTGGATTTGGGTGAAATTTGGCTGAATTTTGGTGAAATTTTGCCCCATTTTCCTCAATTTTTGCTCCATTTTCGCCGTTTTTGGCCCGATTTTGACGGGGTTTTTTGGGAATTTTTGGGAATTCCGGGGATTTTCCGGGAATACTCACGGAGCAGCCCCACCCACACCCAGAATGGGCTCAAAACTCCTCATTTTGGGCAAATTTAGGTGAATTTTGCTCCATTTTGCCCCATTTCCGCTCCATTTTCACCGTTTTTGGCCCGATTTGGACGCGGTTTTTTGGGAATTCTGGGGAATTCCGGGAATTTTCTGGAATTTTTGACAAAATTGTGTACTTTGATTCCATTTGGGGTGGATTTGGGTGAAATTTGGCTGAATTCTGTTCAATTTCCACTCCACTTTGCCCCATTTCCGCTCCATTTTCGCTGTTTTTGGCCCGATTTGGACGCGGTTTTTTGGGAATTTTTGGGAATTCCGTGGATTTTCCGGGAATACTCACGGAGCAGCCCCACCCACACCCAGAATGGGCTCAAAACTCCTCATTTTGGGCAAATTTGGGTGAATTTTGCTCCATTTTGCCCCATTTCCGCTCCACTTTCGCCGTTTTTGGCCCGATTTTGATGGGGTTTTTTGGGAATTTTTGGGAATTCCGGGGATTTTCCGGGAATACTCACGGAGCAGCACCGCCTGGGCCCTGCCCTCGCCCAGGATGGGCTCGAAGATCCTCAGCAGGGGCCGGCTCAGCTGCTGCTCCAGGTAGTAGCGGGTGTCGATGGGCAGGTTCTGCTCCAGGGCGAACACCGGGTCCTGAATCCCGGGAAAGTTCGGGGAAAGTTCGGGAATTTTTGGGGCATTCCGGGGGTGTTTGGCAGGGGATTCCAGCCAGGAGGGGAAAGGAACCCCAAAAAGGTCGGGATTCCCACCGAAATCCGGGCCGGGGTGGGGGAATTCTGCAAAATTCCCATCCCAGGAATCCAAAATTCCCCAAATTCCCACCCCAAAAACCCAAAATTCCCCAAAATTCCCACCCCAAAAACCCAAAATTCCCCAAATTCCCATCCCAGGAACCCAAAATTCCCAAAATTCCCACCCCAGGAATCCAAAATTCCCACCCCAAAAACCCAAAATTCCCCAAATTCCCATCCCAGGAGCCCAAAATTCCCAAAATTCCCACCCCAGGAACCCAAAATTCCCCAAATTCCCACCCCAGGAATCCAAAATTCCCACCCCAAGAATCCCAAATTCCCATCCCAGGAATGCAAAATTCCCCAAATTCCCACCCCAAAAACCCAAAATTCCTAAAATTCCCATCCCAGGAACCCAAAACTCCCACCCCAGGAACCCAAAATTCCCAAAATTCCCACCCCAGGAACCCAAAATTCCCAAATTTCCCCCAATTCTCCCAGTTTTTGGTGTCCCTGAGTGACCCTGAGTGACCCCTGAGTGACCCCTGAGTGACCCCAATGACCCCTGAGTGACCCCTGAGTGACCCTGAGTGACCCCTGAGTGACCCCTGAGTGACCCCTGAGTGACCCCAATGACCCCGAGTGACCCTGAGTGACCCCTGAGTGACCCCAATGACCCCGAGTGACCTCTGAGCGGGTGTAGGCGGCCTGGCCGCGGGCGCCGCTGACGATGACGTACGGGACGCGGTCCCCGAGCGAGGGGGCGCTGCCGGGGTCCCTGCGCCGCAGCCTGGGGGGGAAACGGACACGGGTTTGGGGCAAAAACAGCCGGGATTGGGAAAAACAGCCGGGAACTGGGGGGAAAACAGCCGGGATTGGGAAAAACAGCCGGGATTTGGGGGGAAAACAGCCGGAATTGGGAAAAACAGCCGGGATTTGGGGGGAAAACAGCCGGGATTTGGGGGAAAACAGCCGGATTTGGGAAAAACAGCCGGGATTTTGGGGAAAAACAGCCGGGATTGGGAAAAACAGCCGGAATGGGGAAAAACAGCCGGGATTTGGGGGGAAAACAGCCGGAATTGGGAAAAACAGCCGGGATTTGGGGGGAAAACAGCCGGGATTTGGGGGAAAACAGCCGGATTTGGGAAAAACAGCCGGGATTTTGGGGAAAAACAGCCGGGATTGGGAAAAACAGCCGGAATGGGGAAAAACAGCCGGGATTTGGGGGGAAAACAGCCGGAATTGGGAAAAACAGCCGGGATTTGGGGGGAAAACAGCCGGGATTTGGGGGAAAACAGCCGGATTTGGGAAAAACAGCCGGGATTTTGGGGAAAAACAGCCGGGATTGGGAAAAACAGCCGGAATTGGGAAAAACAGCCGGGATTTGGGGGGAAAACAGCCGGGATTGGGAAAAACAGCCGGGATTTGGGGGGAAAACAGCCGGAATTGGGAAAAACAGCCGGGATTGGGGAAAAACAGCCGGGATTTGGGGGGAAAACAGCCGGGATTGGGAAAAACAGCCGGGATTTGGGGGGAAAACAGCCGGGATTGGGAAAAACAGCCGGGATTTGGGGGGAAAAACAACCGGAATTGGGAAAAACAGCCGGGATTGGGAAAAACAGCCGGGATTTGGGGGGAAAACAGCCGGGATTTGGGGGGAAAACAGCCGGAATTGGGAAAAACAGCTGGGAACTGGGGGGAAAACAGCCGGAATTGGGAAAAACAGCCGGGATTTGGGGGGAAAACAGCCGGGATTTGGGGGAAAAACAGCCGGGAACTGGGGGAAAAACAGCCGGAATTGGGAAAAACAATGGAAATTTTGGGGAAAAACAGCCGGAATTGGGAAAAAACCAACAGGAATTGAGAAAAACAACCGGGAACTGGGGGAAAAAACAGCCGGAATTGGGAAAAACAACCGGGAACTGGGGGAAAACCAGCTGGAATTGGGAAAAAACAACCGGAACTGGGAAAAACAACCAGGATTTGGGGGGAAAACAGCCGGAATTGGGAAAAAACAGCCGGAATTGGGGAAAACAGCCGGAATTGGGAAAAACAGCCGGGAACTGGGGGAAAAACAGCCGGAATTGGGAAAAACAATGGAAATTTTGGGGAAAAACAGCCGGAATTGGGAAAAACAGCCGGGAACTGGGGGGGAAAAGCAGCCAGAATTGGGGAAAACAGCCGGAATTGGGAAAAAAACAACAGGAATTGGGAAAAACAACCGGGATTTGGAGGAAAAACAGCCGGAATTGGGGGAAAAACAGACGGGAACTGGGGGGAAAACAGCCGGAATTGGGGAAAAAACAACCGGAATTGGGAAAAAACCACCTGGAATTTGGAAAAACAACGGGAATTTGGGGGGAAAACAGCCAGAATTGGGAAAAAAATGACGGCAATGGGGAAAAAACAGCCAGAATTGGGAAAAAAACCCCATTCCCATGTGACTTTTCCCCATTTCCGTGCAGTTTTTGCCCGTTTCTGGGTGTTTTCACCCCGATTTCTGCCCCCTCACCTCTCGGCCAGGGCCACATGAGGCGCTGCCAGTGCTTTTTTCCCCATTTCATTCCCATTTCCGCGTGTTTTTTCCCCATTTCCGTGCAGTTTTTTCCCGTTTTTCCCCATTTCCGTGTATTTCACTCCCGTTTTTTCTCATTTCCATGCAGTTTTTTCCCATTTCATTCCCATTTCCGTGTGTTTTTTCCCCATTTCTGTGTATTTTTCTCCCGTTTTTCCCCATTTCCGTGTGTTTTTTCCCCATTTCTGTGTATTTTTCTCCCGTTTTTCCCCATTTCCGCGTGTTTTTTTCCCGTTTCTGTGTATTTTTCTCCCATTTTTCCCATTCCCGTGTGTTTTTTGCCCATTTCTGGGTGTTTTCACCCCGATTTCTGCCCGCTCACCTCTCGGCCAGGGCCACGTGAGCCTGCGGGGCGCTGTCATTGGTTTTTTCCCTGTTTTTTCCCCATCTCCGTGCAGTTTTTTCCCATTTTTTCCCATTCCCGTGTATTTTTTTCCCATTCCCGTGCGTTTTTTGCCCATTTCTGGGTGTTTTCACCCCAATTTCTGCCCGCTCACCTCTCGGCCAGGGCCACATGAGCCTGCGGGGTGCTGTAGGCGCTGCCATTGGTTTTTTCCCTGTTTTTTCCCCATCTCCGTGCAGTTTTTTCCCGTTTTTTCCCATTCCCGTGTATTTTTTTCCCATTCCCGTGTGTTTTTTGCCCATTTCTGGGTGTTTTCACCCCAATTTCTGCCCGCTCACCTCTCGGCCAGGGCCACGTGAGCCTGCGGGGCGCTGTAGGCGCTGCCATTGGTTTTTTCCCTGTTTTTTCCCCATTTCCGTGCAGTTTTTTCCCGTTTTTTCCCATTCCCGTGTATTTTTTTCCCATTTCCGTGCGTTTTTTTCCCGTTTCTGGGTATTTTCACCCCAATTTCTGCCCCCTCACCTCTCGGCCAGGGCCACGTGAGCCTGCGGGGTGCTGTAGGCGCTGCCATTGGTTTTTTCCCTGTTTTTTCCCCATCTCCGTGCAGTTTTTTCCCGTTTTTTCCCATTCCCGTGTGTTTTTTCCCATTTCTGGGTGTTTTCACCCCGATTTCTGCCCGCTCACCTCTCGGCCAGGGCCACGTGAGCCTGCGGGGCGCTGTAGGCGCTGGCGGCGCGCGTCAGCTCCTTGGTGATGACGAGCTGGGAGATGTCGATGCGGTTACAGAGCAGGTCTGAGATCACCTCCTGCGCGTGAGCCACGGCGCCCGCGGGGTCCCTGGAGAAACAGACCAAAACCAACCCAAAATCAACCCAAAATCAGCCAAAATCACCCCGAAACTGCTGCAAAAACTGCACCAAAATCACACCAAAAACACCACAAAAACTGCACCAAAATCACCCCAAAAACTGCACCAAAATCACACCAAAAACTGCACCAAAATCACCCCAAAACTGCTGCAAAAACTGCCCCAAAATCACACCAAAAACACCCCAAAAACTGCACCAAAATCACCCCAAAAACTGCACCAAAATCACCCCAAAATCAGCCCAAAAACTGCACCAAAATCAACCCAAAATCAGCCAAAATCACCCCAAAACTGCTGCAAAAACTGCCCCAAAATCACCCCAAAAACTGCACCAAAATCACCCCAAAAACTGCACCAAAATCACCCCAAAAACTGCCCCAAAATCACCCCAAAAACACCCCAAAACCTGCCCCAAAATCACCCCAAAAACACCCCAAAACCTGCACCAAAATCAACCCAAAATCAGCCAAAATCACCCCAAAACTGCTGCAAAAACTGCACCAAAATCACCCCCAAATCACCCAAAAACTGCCCCAAAATCACCCCAAAACTGCACCAAAATCAGCCAAAATCACCCAAATTCACCCCAAACTCGGCATCCTCAGGGGCTGAACCCTGCCTGAATTTTTCCCTTTTATTTCCCAATTTTTCCCGTTTTTTCCCATTTTTCCCTTTTTTTTCACCGTTTTTTTCACCGTTTTTTTCACTGGTTTTTCCCCTTTTTAGCCATTTTTTACCATTTTCCCCATTTTTTCACCGTTTTTCACCGTTTTTTCACCGTTTCCCCCCGTTTCTCACCTGTGCAGCAGGATCCTGCGCAGCCAGGCCGTCACTCAGGGTAAACCCCTCTCATTTTGGGGCCATTTCCCCATTTTTCACCATTTTCCAGCCGTTTTTTTCACCATTTTTCACCGTTTTTTCACCGTTTTTCACCGTTTTTTCACCGTTTCCCCCCGTTTCTCACCTGTGCAGCAGGATCCTGCGCAGCCAGGACGTCACTCAGGGTAAAACCCTCTCATTTTGGGGTCATTTCCCCATTTTTAACCATTTTCCCCATTTTCTCAGCCTTTTTTCACCATTTTTTCACCGTTTTTGACCATTCTTTCACCGTTTTTTCACCATTTTCCCCATTTTTCCAGGAATTTTTCCCATTTCTCACCTGTGCAGCAGGATCCTGCGCAGACAGGCCGTCACCAGGTTGGCAGCCAGGGTAAAACCCTCTCATTTTGGGGCCATTTCCCCATTTTTAACCATTTTCCACCCGTTTTTTCACCGTTTTTTCACCGTTTTTCACCGTTTTTTCACCGTTTTTCACCGTTTTTTCACCGTTTTTCACCGTTTTTCCCCCGTTTCTCACCTGTGCAGCAGGATCCTGCGCAGACAGGCCGTCACCAGGTTGGCAGCCAGGGGACAGTTGTCCCTCCTGACGGCCTCCAGCCCCTTGCAGTCCAGCCGGGGCTCGGCGCTGCCGGCGAAGCAGAGCCCGGCGTAGCGCTTCTTGCTGATCAGGAGGTAGGGCAGGTACACCTGGCCAGGTGTGACAGCGTCACCCGCTGCCCTCAATCGGATTTCACCTTTTCCCTGCTTTTTTCAGCTTTTTTTCCCCAGTTTTTACCATTTTTTTAGCCTTTTTCCCCCATTTTTTCCCATTTTTTTAGCCTTTTATTCCCATTTTTTAAGGTTTTTTTCCCACACTTTTTTCCTGTTTTTAGCCCATTTTTGCCCCATTTTTTTGCCTTTTTTTCCCATTTTTTTTGTTATTTTTTCCACAGTTTTTCCCTATTTTTAGCCATTTTTTAGCCTTTTTTTCCCATTTTCCCCCATTTTTTAAGCAATTTTTCCCCTATTTTTTAGCTGCTTTTTCCCATTTTTTAGCAATTTTTTCTTAATTTTTCCCCATTTTTGCCCCCATTATTTCAGCTTTTTATTCCCATTTTTTACCATTTTTTGGGCTTTTTTCCCCATTTTTTAAGGTCTTTTTTCCAATTTTTTCCTTATTTTTTAGCCATTTTTTCCCCATTTTTTCCCAATTTTTTAGCCTTTTTTTCCCATTTTTTAAGCAATTTTCCCCCTATTTTTTAGCTGCTTTTTCCCATTTTTTTTAGCCTTTTTACCCATTTTTTCTTAATTTTTTCTTAATTTTTCCCCATTTCCCCCCATTTTTGCCCCCATTCTTTCAGCTTTTTATTCCCGTTTTTTCCCGTTTTTTTTAGCATTTTTCCCCATTTTTTAAGGTTTTTTTCCCCATTTTTTTGCCATTTTTTTAGCTATTTTTTCCCATTTTTACTCCATTTTTTAAGCTATTTTTCCTCATTTTTTCCCTATTTTTTAAGCCATTTTCCCCCATTTTTTTAGCCTTTTTTTCCCATTTTCCCCCATTTTTTAGCAATTTTTCCCCTGTTTTTTGGCCATTTTTTCCCATTTTTCAGCTTTTTTTCTTTCCCATTTTTTCCCTATTTTTTAGCCATTTTTTCCCATTTTTTCCCTATTTTTTAGCCCTTTTTTCCCATTTTTTTCCCCTATTTTTTAGCCATTTTTTAGCATTTTTCCCCCAATTTCTCTCAATTTTTTAAATAATTTTCCCCATTTTTTAGCCCCTTTTTCCTATTTTTTTTCCCCATTTTTTCCGTATTTTTTGGCCATTTTTCCCCAAATTTTTTCCCTTTTTTTAGCAAGCTTTTCCTCTTTCTTCCTCTTTTTTCAGCCTTTTTTTTTCCCATCTTTTTACTCTTTTTTTCCCATTTTCCCCCATTTTTTAGCTCTTTTTTTCCCCATTTTCCACTCATTTTTAACCTTTTTTTCCTCTACAATTTCCCCCAAAAAACCCCAAATTCCCCTCCCACCCCGATTTCGGGCCCCTCCCCCCCAAATTTTGGGTACCCCCACCACAATTTCAGGCCCCTCCCCCCCAAATTTTGGCC